TTTCTACGGAATTCCCAAGGAGGGCTTCATTTCTTAGATGGTTTCGTTGGTTTCCTTTTCTTTCTTCCCCCCCAAAGCAGTGTAGAGTGTTAGAAAACTCACAGGACTCAAAGTCCAGAACTCTATGATTCCCTTCGCAACTCCAATATGGCCTGGAGAGTTGGGGTAGTTCTTCGTGGATTCAATGAATTACAGTAAATCCTTTTATAAAAAGATAGGGCATAACAAACATAGAGATAAAAAATTAAATAATGTCAAATCTCTGTTTTGAGCAAAACTATATTTAGAATCTTTATTCAGATGATGGTAACATTCATTCATTCATGAAATATTTGTTGAGCATTTACTGTGAGCAAAACATTGTTTTGGGAACTTGGAGATATTCACTTTCTACGCTCATGGAGACTGACGTTTGTCATTTATGTAAATAACTGTGAACAAGTTGGAAAGTGATAAGCCACAAGAAAGATGGCAATGAAGTACTTGGGATTCCAGAGGCGAAGAGAAGAGAAAGTTGAAATGAAATGTGCTGTATAAATAGAACAGAGATCATGCTGTGTTAAGCTAACACAGGAAAAGGGTCCCTGATATAAATGACCATTTTGCCCACAAAGGACTGATTCTAAGAAGGGAAACTCAACCACAATTTCAAAGTGCTCCTTTTGTACCACACTGGTTCAATTTGCATTTTTATGCAGGAAATAGCCTCCTGGGCTGGGCAAAAGAAATTTTGAACTGTTACTAGTCCCATGGACCATTATTATCCTAACCTGATCCTGTAGCTCTTGCTACCTTTGGCTAATTCAGGCTGTGTTTTCTGACTGTCCATGTAATAAATCGCGTCTCACATTGACCATGTTCCAAAATGTATAAATTAATTGACCTTGGGCAGGTCAGCTTTAGTTTTCTCGTAATAAAAAATTGAGGATGTTCGACTGCGTGATCTAGCTCTAAATTTCTATAAATCACACAAGGGAATTGATACCAGAAAACTCTAGATTTGACCTAAATATATATCACATATTTCTTTAATAGCTAATCATGCATTTTTGGTTAGCAATAACCAAAATCCTAAGAGATCTCTTAAGGATTTTTACATTAAAGCGTACCATTTAAGAACTTTTCAGTGAGTGTGGTTTTGTGTGTGTGTGTGCGTGCATGTGCACACACACACACACACACACACACACACACCAGGCCAGCTTTGGTTGGATAAAGTCCAAATCCCACAAGATATAATTTATCTGAGTCTAGGCTTTTTCACTCAACTCTGCTATTGAAAAAAATTAATAATAAAGCTTTTTGCCTCTTGCCCAGAAGGCTTGTGTTTTTCAGAGCAATATTAGAAATGAAAAATCACAGGATGTCAGCCACGTTGTTTCTCAGTTGGGATGATATCACCAGCAAACTTTTATGTGAAGCAATCACCAAACATGTCCCGTTTCCCTCTAGCGGAAGTCTGGGATTCAGGATGGTGTTTCAGCTGCTGTGTTAGGACACATTCCAGAGTAGCATGCAGGTCAAACGCTGTGCAAGATTTATAGTTTCAATTCAAACCCAAACCTACATATAGTAACATCCTTTAAAAAAAAAGTAGATAGGAATGCATTCATATGGAATTTTTTTTTTACTCCAGAAATAAAAAAAAATTATAAAACATTCCTGTCTCTATGGAGAGAGTTTAGTTACAATTATTAACTGGTTTCTATCTCCAGCACATGTAGCTGTCAATCAGTCCTCTTTATTACTAGAATTCTCCTGGAGCAGTAAAGGGGCTTGTTAACTCCATTGTTGGTGATAATAAGGCACCATTCTAAGTCTCTATGGTTGTTTAAATATGAACCCCAGGACACTACCATGGTCTACAAGGGGTCCAGGTCCTGTAAGTTGTGCAGAGCTTTCAGAGGGGTGAGTCGGCTGCCAGGCATGATGGAAGGAGAGACGTGCGTGTCTACTTTGTAGTCTTTGGCCAGGCAGTTCCTATTTTAATTAGGAAACACAAACTAAAAGTCTTTATCCAGAAACTCAATCAAGCGATATCAGGAAGAAACTGACAGAGCAGCCTCTGGTTGGGGAGGCTCTGCCATTTTGTGGTCTCATCAAAGAAGCAAGACTTTGATTATGGGGCCTCCAGGACTTTAGCCTCAAAGAGAGCCCTGTCCCCACCCCTGACCCCAGCACTTACCTGAGCAAAGGCTAAAGAGCAGAAAGAGAGGCCGGGGCTCCATAGGGTACCAAAGCTGGCGTGGATCAGGGCAGAGTGGCGGTCCGTGCTGCTCACTGGCACTCTGGCTGGGTGCTTGGCTGCCGGAGGGTTTGGAAGGCGAGTCGGCTCAGTGGAGCTATTGTTTTACACCACCTGTTTGCAGGAGTGACAGCTGGGCTGCCCTCAGCCCTGGAGCCCGGGGAGTTGCTGGGACCGTACGCCATTACAGATGTGCCTGGCTTTACACAATTGCCTCCCCTCGACAAGCTGAGTATGAACTGCATTATATTTTAAATGTACCAGGAGTCAGATCTTAATGGAACAAAGGTATAGAAAGGAAGGAATTATTTTGAAGGGTGAGCCAACCCCTCCCTTTTGTGTAAAGCAGAACTTCATCTCTGTGGGTTGATTTGATTAGGGTCATTTAGTCTGAGTAGATAGCTGTTTGTCCTATACCACAAAAATCCATATTCTGCAAACATGGCAATTCATTTCCTCTGCTCTGTGTTAGGCTGAGGGTGCCTGGGGCATTTGTGACTGCCTGGATTTCAGAAGAGTACAGCTGGTGTTGAATCTGCTGCTGGAGAGTCCCCATGTTGATTGGGTTTGGTTTTTAACAAAGACAGCTTCTTCCATAAAACTGGCTTTACTGGCCCCCAGGGTGGCTGCTCCAACCCCTCTCTCTGTATCAGGCGATACCTATCCCACGTGGACCATTAGCTGGAGCAAATTGCCCACGTCCTCTGCACCATGATTCAAGGGAGGAGTAATTATCAGGAAAAGGTATCCCACCACATCAGCAGTTGTTCCGGCTCCCTGCCTCCTCCCATCTATCCCTCTGCCCACTCTCACTCAGGAAAGCAAAGAGCAGAGCGGTTCAGCTTTTCAATTCTCTTGCTTGAAAAACATCCTACAAACCAGCAGTTAGTAATTTCTCAGTCTGAGAAGTATTGTTACCCGAGCTATGCTTCTTTGCAGGGCGTGAGGTGGGTTCACAGGAGAGGATTGTTTAAAGGTACCTGCCTGTTCCTTCTGGGCCTCCTTCCCACCTGGAATTAGGTGGGAAATGTTCTCTCACCTCAAGCCCATGGACAACATCCTGACAGAGCCTCTTATCCCAGTGGATCCAAACAAATCATTAGCGAAGGGGCTTGGAGGGCAGAGGAGAGAGCTGCTAGCTCACACTGTTTACGAATTTTGTTTAAACTATGGGAGATCAGTTAACTGTTTGCTAAAAAAAAATTGGTTCTCTCCCTTCCATGGAATAGCCCTGTGGCAGAAATACAACCCCCACCCTCCGACCAGCCCCTTCCATCTAAATGGAGCCAGGGGACTAGGCTCTGGTCAGTGGCATGCGAGGAAAAATGTTCTTAGACTCACAAACCTACCAGAGCTCAGCCCTGCCCTTCTAGCCTTCTGATGGCTGGAATGGACATGATCCCAGGGCCACCTTAGAAACCATGTTTGGAAGGTGGCGTTGCTTTTGACATTCTGAATCCTTGAATGACTGCATTGAGGGGGACCTGGTAACCACCCAGCACTATTGCAGTGAAAACAAAACATGTATTGTGTCGATCCATCAAAATCCTTGGGTTTATTCATACAGCAGCTAGTGTTCCATAATTAATACAAAATGTAGCCCTTTGCACTAGTATCCTGGGGTTAAAAATAAATTCTAAAATGTGTAGCACTGCAGCGGAAGGCAAGAAAATTGATACTGGAGGCTGAAAAGATGAAGACCCCTGTTATATAGTACCAAATAGTTTAATAACACTGTTGTCCTCAACTGCTTGGTGAACAACGTGTCTACTGAGCCTGTAGCTCCCAGAGAAGAGGTTGGCAAACCCAAAGGTGGCGCACGATGGTTCTCTTTTGCTTTGTTTAGCATGTCAGTACAAGGAAGAGCTGAGCTCAGGCAAAAATGCACTGGTTTAAGAGCAGAAATGAAAAGGAACAGAATGAGTCCAGAAATGTAGAGTCTTCTGTTTTGAACTTCAAAGAGTAAGTGAAAACATGGAATAAAGGCTTTGATCAACCAAAGCCCATTAAGACTTCTCTTTAAATAGGCAGTTTCATTACAACAGCAAAGATTACTTGGAGGGTGCTTTCTTCACAGCCAAACCTATTTTTTTCAGATGGCTTCAAGAGGGCTGCTATTAAGTTGAAGGAGAGAGGTACAGTGGTTAGGATGCAAAGAAATGCATCAGATTGGAGCAGTGTGTCCAGGAAAGAAGCCCATGTGTGTACATAGGCACATAGGAATAATGGAAACAAATATTGCAGAAGCTTACTCAGTTTTTGAAGGAATTATATTGCCAAAGAGTTCGTGAACCCAGGCTACAAAAGTTTTGGTTGTTCAAGGCTTAACTCAGTCCTTAAGTTCCCAACCACACACTATCAGAAAGCAGGCTCCAATATCTGCACAGTCTTCTAAAAAGAGTGCTGTCTCCATCTCGTTTCAGATGTGGCCATGAGGGACAGTGGGCAAGGAAGAATCTCCCAGGGGACATAGCCAGGAACCTCGGACAGCAACAGACAAGGGAGTTCCACCCACAAAGCAGAATCGGGGCAAATCACGGAATCTGTTGAGACCCTCTCTGTGCCCACCCAGGTGCCGCTGGCTCTCTGCTTACAGCCAATGCCTGCAACCCTCTGCCCGAGGGATTCTTTTCTTTTTTTCTTTTTGGCGATGGGAACACAAGAAACAAGGCTGAAATGTAAAAATGTTGCTGCCTCCAGAAACAGGCCTCAACCAATGTCCGAGGATAAATATCCCAGCTCCCTCACCCCTTGGACTGGGTAACTCCCAAGCGTGGCCTGCACTGCCACTCTGTGAGAGTGAGTCCCTGTGATCCATGATGGAAATGGCTCAATAACCCTCCCTTTGTTGACTTCCTGTCCCTCTCTGTCTCATTTCCCCACTCTGCCAGCTCTCAAGTACACTCCCTTCAGGGTCAGGGGGACCTCAACGCAAGACAGAATTTCTCCCGCTGCCTGGCACAGGGTCTTCACAGTGATGGGAGGCTTTCCCCAGCATTTCACCATCCTATCACGTCTCTTCTAAAGGAGAGCAGTTGAAACCTCAGACTTTAAAAAGTGAGTACAACCGCTATTAATATTATCCTCTGAAGTGGCCTATTTTTTTAATTTAAAAGTGCATTATTCAAGTAATTTGAATTTATTATAGAGAATTTAGAGAACAGATGAGTGAAATGACCCACTATCTTCTACCCAGAAATATTTATCTTTATGTTTTAGTTTGTGTCTGTTCAGATCCTTCTATGCATTCCATCCATTTATTCACTGAACATTTTTTCACTGGGTTTTGCTATGTGCCAAGCAGTGTTCTAGGCATTTGGAATACATCAATAAACACAGCAAACAAGGATTCCTAGTCCTCAGGAAAAATGCATTCTAATTGGAGGCAATGGACAATTAAAAATATATATATTACAATTTTATTTATATATTATATATGTTATATAACATATATTTATACATTATATATGTTACATAATATGTAAATAAGATATATATCCTTTTAACAATGTATTCATGTATTATATAATATATAACATATGTTATATAATATAAATGTTATATAATGTATAACATATATGTGTTATATATGTATTGTATTATATATAATATACATACATTCTAATTATATAATTATGCAATATATAATATAATGTAATATATGATACATTATAATTATATACATTACAATTGATAATATATGTATTATATGTTATATATAATGTATAATATATAATATAAGTTATATATTATACATGTATACATGCATATATTATCTATATATACTATGTATTATAGTATATATAGTTATATATATTATATATGTTATATAATATATAAATTGTAAAAAAGATGTATATATATCATTTTTATTTATATAAAAATATATATCTGTATATATCTTATCATTATTATATATTTTATATAAATAACATGTAATTTATATAAGTAAATTGTTATACCTAATAAGTAAATTGTTTAATGTGTCAGGTAAAAAATGCTATAGGAAATAGAAAAAGCAGAGCAGGATGCAAGGGGACCAGGACAGCTGAAAGGGGGTTGTAATTTAAACACAGCAGGTAGGGTGGGCTTCACTGAGGAGGTGGCATTTGAAGGAGATGCAGACAGGTATCTGCGGCAGGAGAATTGCAGGCAGAGTAAGCAGCAACACAGAGCCCCCAAGGAGAATGGGACTGGTGTGCTCGGGCATAGCCAGGAAGCCGGGAGGCCAGAGCAGGGTGAGAGATGGGGAAACCCCTAGGAGATGAGGTCAGGGTGCAGCCCGGGGAAGGGGGACGCAACACACATTCTCGACTTTGATTCTCTGTGAGATGAGGAGCCTCTGCAGTGTCTTGAGCTGCTGGGTGACACCATCTGACTTATGCTGTCAAAGGTGGACGCTGGCTGCTGTGAGGACACCTTGCAGTAGGAGCTACCACTGTAATCCCTGAGGTACATGGTGATGAATTGGACTAGAGTGGTTGCAGTGAGGATGGCAAGAAGTCATTAGATTTGGGAAATGTGTTTTTGACGTGAGGGTTAACGGGATTTCCTGAAGGATTTGATCTAGGATGCAAGAAAAAGGGAAGCGTTAAAGATGATTTGTAGGGTTTTGGCTTGAGCATAAGGAAGGATTTAAATGCCAACCAGTGGATTAAGTATGACCGTGGATGAGCAGGTTTAAAGGCGGGAAATTCAAGGGCTCTGCTTGGGACGTGATTAACTGGAGACGGTCATTAGAAATGTGAGATCTAGAGTGGATGTCATTTAAAGCCACAACAGGATAAGGTCAAAGAAATCAGTATAGGCAGAGAAGAGAAGAGCACTAACATTAAAAAGTTGGAGGCTGGCTCAATCCTGTAATCCCAGCACTTTGGGAGGCCAAGAGAGAATGATTGCTTAAGGCCGGGAGTTGGAAGTTACAGTGAACTGTGATAGCACCAGTGCACTCCAGCCTGGGCAACAGAGTGAGACTGTCTCAAAAAAAAGTTTCAAATGGGATTTACTATATATGCTTGCCTGCCTGCCTTCCTTCCTTCCTTTCTTCCTTCCTTCCCTCCTTCCCTCCCTCCCTTCCTCCCTCCCTCCCTCCCTCCCTTCCTCCCTTCCTTCCTTCCTTCCTTCCTTCCCTCCCTCCCTCCCTCCCTCCCTTCCTTCCTTCCTTCCTTCCCTCCTTCCTTTCTTCTTTCCCTCCTTCCCTCCTTCCCTCCCTCCCTCCCTCCCTCCCTTCCTTCCTTCCTTCCTTCCTTCCTTCCTTCCTTCCTTTCTTCTCTCTCTGTTGCTCAGGCTAAAGTGCAGTGGTATGATCTCAGCTCACTGCAGCGTCTGCCTCCTAGGCTCAGGTGATTCTCCTCTGAGCCTCCCGAGTAGCTGGGATTACAAGCGTGTGCCACCACACGTGGCCAATTTTTTATATTTTCAGTAGAGACAGGGTTTTACCATGTTGGCCAGACTGGTCTCACACTCCTGACCTCAGGTGATGCATCCATCTTGGCCTATAAAAGTCCTGAGATTACAGGCATGAGCTGCCACACCTGGCCCATTTTCATTTTTAATGTTTTATTTTTTTAATGTATCATAATTTGTTAACCAATTTCTTATTAGATATTTTCATTTTTTATTTTTAATGTTTGCTTTTATAAATAATCATGCAGTGGACATCCTTATACATACAAATCAGCCCAATTTTCTAACTATTGCCTTAGGATGAGCTTCTAAGAACAGAAGTGCTGGGTCAGAAAATAAAAACATGAGGCCGGGTGCGGTGGCTCACGCTTGTAATTCCAGCACTCTAGGAGGCCAAGGCAGGTGGATTGCGAGGTCAGGAGTTCTAAACCTGCCTGGCCAGCGTGGTGAAACCCCATCTCTACTAAAAATACAAAAATCAGCCTGGTGGGCATCACAGTGGTACACACCTGCAATCCCAGCTACTTAGGAGGCTGAGGCAGGAGAATCACTTGACCCTGGGAGGCGGAGGTTTCAGTGAGCCAGGATCACCCCACTGCATTCCAACCTGGGTGTCAAAGTGAGACTTCATCTCAAAAAAAAGAAAAGAAAATGAAAACATGTTAAATAATTTTAATGCACATCAAGTAACTAAATCTCCATTTTAGAATCAACGAAAGTCTTTCAGACCTGCTCTTCTCACAGTTATATTTTTCTATTATACCTGTCACGGTTGCATATGTTACATTTATTTGTGTGATTATCTGATTAATGTCTGTTTTTCCCACTAGACTCCAACCCAGTGAGTGCAGAGATGACACCTGTTTCTGCTCACCGCTATATCCTGAGCTCTTGGCTGACAGCTTGTCATGCAGTAGGCAGTCAGTAAATAACTGCTGATGAGGGAACGAATGGATGTAAAGCTCAATTCAATGAACAGGGTAGAAGATCACACTAGATAATGTCATTTGGGGATAAAATAAAATGTAACTGTCAGTCACGCCCAGTGCCATGCAGGGTACCTGGTATGCAGCTCCAAAAGTATTTGCAGTTGACTAATTAATGCATGAATGAAGTATATCTCTTTTATAAAAGTCCACCTTCTTGTGTGGCTTAATTAATGGAATAATTGTGGATCCTCCCAAGATCACTTTGGAGAAAACACAGTCTGACTGCATTTGGGTGCAGCTCCCTGGGGCCTGGCTAACCGTTAGCCAAACTCTTGTTTCCAGCATGGAGTGCCTTGGTCCAATGGCCAGCAGGTGGCAACAAATGGCTATTAAAGTGGCGGTGGCACACTGGAGGCCCTCTCCAGACGAGGTGTCTCTCCTGCTGTACCTCCAGGGCCTGTGTTTTGGAAACGCCAGGAAGCCAGCCCAACAGGCCCTTTTGGGTGACTAGAGTATCCCTCGAAGCGCAGATGCTCTTCAGGACAGTCAAGAATGGGGGGTCAATGCTCAGGCCCTGAAAAGAGCCCGACTTTGCTTTCCAATTTCACAGACTTAGAGTTCTGAGTAATGGTACCGGAGAGCTGAAGAGCCAAGGCAGTTCATGTGCGTATCCGGGCTTCTTCAGGCATGAGATTTCATCCGGCTCACACCAGACAACCTGCCTCTGTCACGTCTCAGTCTGTCTGGAATTGTCAGTTTCTTCTGTTTTGTTTTGTTTTAGCCCAGCTCAGTGCCATGCAATCAGCCTGACAGCCTGTAGTAATGACTGGGTTTGTTATCACTGGATTATACAAAGTCTTCTTATTACATACAAAGAGGTTGCTGACCACTCATCATGGGTCCCCTCTACCTTGGTGCTGTTTCTTCCAGGGGCAGGGATGGATTTGTCCCAGTCCTGCTTCACCCACTCTCTCTTTCTTGTAGTCTAATGGTAGAGGGGAGATCACCCTACATCGCGATCCTGTTGTCTACCGCCTCATTCCCGCTGCAGCTCAGCTGTGCACGTGACATATGTCATGTGTCTGAGCTCACTTAGGTACAAGAACCAGGAGGGGAATCTGATAATTCTGATTGTAAACACAGTGCTCTGTCCACTACATTCATGGTTCAAATGGTGCTCCAAGAAGCCCTTCTGAGGTGGCCATGAGTGAAGGGAAGAAGGACGGATGGCAGACAGGGAGGAGTGGCCGAAAAGGTGATGCTCCCTGCTTCTCACCCTTCCTTCATCTAGAACAGCTGTGCTTTGACGTTTAAAATGTATGTGTGTATACATTAAAGCATATATGTAATCTTTCTCTTAACTTTCCTTTCAGAAGGAGGAGAAAAATCTGTGCCTCCTCCTCTCAAGGGATACTTTGTCTCTGGGGTACTTTTTGACCCAGTAGGCCCCTGGCAGAAATAAGTGTGCGTTGTGGCTACAGGACCATGCAGAGGAACCGAAGCCAGGCCTTGGCCACGGCAGCTCCAGGCGCCAACCACTTGATCAACGCAGGAAATGCTTTGATGGCAGAATTCTTCCATGGCCGGCTTTTCATATTCTCTGGGGCAGACACAAACCAAGAAAAGTGAGTGTGGTGCAGGATCGGATGTGCCCTTCCTGTACACCCTGCTGGTAGCCAAAACTTTTTTGAACTTTTCTTTTTTACGCACAGTCTGGGTAACAACAGCCCGAAGGAAAACTGAGGAAGCCTGGGAGTCTAAGTTCAAGGACAAGCGAAGAAGTGAGGCAGAGGGAAAGGAGAATTGAGAGAGAAAAGCCTCAGGTTGGGTGTCTGGAGAGGTTGGGGGACTAGAGAGGGAGGAGATATAATTGGCCAGAGAACTGGAGAGTGGGTGAGGAGTGCAAACATGATTTTTGAGGCGCTTTGTTGGATATTTCAAATGTACTCCTACCTTTGGTATTTTCTCAAGAGGCAGGAAAGATTTGTTTTCAATTCTATTTTTCTGCTGGACTGAACCAGTGCCAAGACTGGACCATGTAGGATCCTGGGTTTATTTCAGTTACATAAGCGAACTTTGCTGTGATTTGGAAGAGTCAAAGCCATGAATGTTTTTCAACTTCCATTTTGTCAGCTGCTTGAGTTTCTATTCTGAGAAGTGCTAACTGTTATAACATTGTTATTTACTTGTGTTCTCTAAATAACTTTTAATTAGTTTTAATTTGAACCAAGAATGTTCTGCTGTTGACACTATGACAAGAATGATCAAAAATGAAATTAATAAAGAATTCGGTTCAGAAAAAAATTTGCACTAATATTATGGTATTTTATAATATCTTTCTCAACAGAGACACAGATAATTTAAAATTTTTAATTTTGTTTTTAAGTGATTTTCCTCAAAGCAATAATAGCCTTGGTAAAGAGTTTAGTGAAACATTATTTTTCACCTCTCATGCATTTTGTAGAATGAAATTTTCCTATCATCTTCTAGTGGAATTAATTGCATTGGTGTAAAAAATGCGATCAAATCAGTGACTGTATTTAGCCTTTGAAACCTCATGACTGGCTGGGCTAATTAATATTCATTACACACTGAAAAATGATAAGCAGTAATCTTTTCTCCTAAAAACTGCCAAAGAGAAGTTTCTCAGGGCTCTCGAAATAGCATAAAGCTGACAATACAAGAAATGTTAAAATATTGTTGGAGTTTTTAATCAAATCTTCCCTCTCTTCTTTTCCTGTTCTTTAAGACAATGGTAGTTATTTGTTCACTCATCATTAATACATGATTTTCTAAGAAAGACTTGCATATCCTTTTGGCTAAAAAGTGGCCAAATATCAAAGAGCTAGTAATTTGGGAGACAGCCATTAGTCTATTCTAAGGCATGTAAGCCCTTTTGAATCCTTTTGGGTAAATGTCTGGCAAAGATCAAACAGAATTCATAAAGGTTTCTGATACACAGTGAAATGTGCCTGTGAGGACTCTATACATGATAATAATCTAAGCATGCACTCTTTTAGTCCCAAAACTTGTAATGTTACATGAAATTTACAGGAGGCCATTGATTTGGACTGAGCTCCTGCACCAGGCCGAACAGACCAAACCAAAATGGCGTCACTCATGCTGAAGTTCACACCACCGAGCCAAAACTAAGTTGTTTAACTGATCTTACAAGACATGAGGAGAGATAACAGCCCAATCCCCAAACAGGCCAGTTTTAGCTAGCATGATGAGGAGGTCCCCTCTGCTTCAGCCTTTAAGAGGAAAGTAACTTTGAAACAATGAGTCTGCTTTTTGTTCTCTGCTTCAGCCTTCCTCAACCCCTTTCTGACCATAAAAGCAACATCCTGTGCTTGGCTTATGGGAACACTCATTCTATTTTGTACAATGAGGTGTTGCCCGATATTCTAGATTTGCAAATAAAAGCCAATTAAGATCTTTAAATTAAATCTGTTGTAATTTTGTCTTTGACACTAATAAATGCACGAACAGGTTTCTTTAGAGAAAGCCGGTGATATGCAGGGAACATTTGACAAGTGCTGTGGTCAAATGTCCTATTGTTTACATTCTCATTTTCATAATTTTCTTAAGTACTATGTAATTTGGTCTTGGGAACGCTTTGCTAATTACGGATGAGGAAGATGGGCCTTGTATGTGACAGAATGATTTAACGTTGTGCGGTTCAGTGGAAAGAGTGTAGCTGTGTTGAATATTTATGACGTTTTACCTTCTCTCTTTGTTACAGAGGCCTTACAACAAATTAAAACATGTGTGTCAGCTCCCTAATTACTTAGCTAGACTTTCAAAGATGGGCTAGTCAAGGCTGAATTTTATTCAAGCACTACTTCATCTGTCATATTATTTTAAGTACATTAGCCTTGTTAGCCTATTATATGGCCATGATCAGTACTATTTAAATTGCCAACTTCTACAAGTCCCTTCTGTGTGCTCTGGCTCAATCAATGCATTAGTGGCACTAGCTTAGTTTTGTCACAATTCTGGGCACATTGGCAGTCCATGGGTGGGGGGCCTGGAGATCCTGGGTAAACATAGTGCATCTGCCTGGAGCTTCCATTTTACTTGAGGATTTGGAAAAATATAAATTCATCAACTTAACCATTTATTTAATGTGCTCCAATTCTTTAATTTGCTGCGAAGCAAACAAAATTATGCATTAGCTATGTTATGACTAAAACCCAAATGTTGTTGAATACTTTCAGCGATAGAATAACAACTTGTAAACCCAGAGTATGACTGCTTAGCTGTCAGAGTTCCAGCTAGAAATCAGCTGAGAAAAAAATCTGATGACACTCATCCTGAGAAGTGTTGGAACGGAGCCCCGCCTGGCTTCTGGGTGAGGCAGTCCAAAACCTACTCCCATCTCTTGTCAAAGTCCCGTGTCATTGCACAGGAACTCCAGGGACTGTTCGGGAAGGAACAGGAAGCCTCCAGCCCAAGGAAACGGGACTCATCCTGTTGTCAGGTGAGATCCTGAGAAGCATGGGTGAGCCCAGCATGGGCAGAGCCATTGAGGAGTTCCTCCCTCCTCAGCTAAGCCTGCACTGGCCAGCAGGTCCCTGAGACCTGACAGCATCCCCCCAAAGCTGACCCCGTTACTCTCCAGACCTGGCCACGGCCCCTCCCAGCTCCTGGTGCCTGAGTCCTTGCCTCTGACTGAGATCACCATTTACACTCCCCACTGCACTCCTTGCCCCTCACCCACCCACCCGCCTTGCTCAGATCCAGTCCTAGTCCTGGGATAGAGTTTCTGCCCTTGACCTTGGGCCAGATTCCAGTTTCTGTCTTTATGTGGTCCACTGCCAGGACTAGAGACGAGTTCAACCAATGAACAATATAAAGTTTGATTTTGCTGTGAAAGTAAATGTAAATGCAAAATTCACACGAATGCTTAAAATACCAGACCTCAAAGATGAGGGCTGTCTGTGGCTCCTTTGAGCAGTCCCTGGGCCCCTGGGGGAGGCATTCTTCCACTGCTGTTACAGCGCCACCAGCAGGCACTTTTGAGGAGTACAGCTCCAAGGGATGACTCCGGAGCAAGGGGAAGAATTCAGCAAACGTGAGATGTCCTCCAGCAAAATCAGAGACAGTGGCCTTCAGAGGGCTCATGTCCTGCTGGAATCAGGGGAAATTCCATACAGTTCCAGATATTCGGCCTCCTAACTGAACTCTATGCAATGCCTTTATTCAATCTGTGCCAAAAGAATCAAAGGAATAAAACCTGTTTTCTTTCTTAGTGGCTGCACCAATTTTCTGCAGTCTAGTTCTCTTCTGGTTTTCTGTAAAGTTGTTTTCAGAAGTATTTAAAGTTGTGGCGAAAGTTGACTTTATGATGCTTAATTTTTGTTTCAAAAACAATAAAGGCAGTTTTGGCTGGTGCTGGGAACCTGAGCTAAGAGAGCCGGAGACAGGGTTCCAGGGCCTTCTCAGCTTCCTCGTGAGGACTTGTAAAACAGCACACGCAGCCTTGCCTCTATCCTCTCCTCACCCTGTCCCCACTTTTTTAGAAACATGGGGAATGCAGGTAGGCATGAGGAACCTTTCAGAGCATGAGACTCTTACTGAACTGAAGGGACAGAGGATGCCTGGGCCCGCCTTGTCCTGGATCCACAGCTGCTGTCCCGATGTTTTCCTCCTTGCTCCTAGGATGGGGGCTTTCAGGATACATTTTGGGTAGGAAGAAATGCACCACAAGGCATCCCTAATTTGAGATGGGGCTGCGATAGTCTTTGTTCTAGCCAGGCCAGTTCCAGACCTGATGCAATTAATCCTGCCTTAAAGTCGAAGCAGCTGACGCCTCTCAGAGGGCCCCTCAAGCTCTGTCTCTTAAATACATAAATATCAGTCCTGGCGACTGATCTTTGGCTCATGTTTCCTAGAGAAAAATACTTGAAAAATTTGGAGGCGTGTACTTCTATGGCCACTTCTATTCTGAAGGGGAATTGGCACGGTGCAGATTAAGGAGGACCCTGCCATAGATTAGAATGGTTACCTCAAGGACTTGTTCCTAGCGCCTGGCTCTGTGACAAGCATCCCCAGCCTGCCAGTGACACAGCATTTGTGTATCCCTTTTTGCCCTAAACTAGAGCTCCTTCTTGTCCCATATGTATACAGACTGATACTTTGCAGATGGAAATTCCTCCCTGAGACAGAGACCGATCATCTGCCCCCTCCCATATGGCTTAGGAAGGGCAAAGAAAGAGCCAGAGGAAGCAAGCTTAAAAAGTGAGAGCAAGGGAATCGGGAGAGAATCATTCAAAGAAAGAACTGGGAAGCAGGTTTTAGAAATAAGAGGTTGTT